GGCTGTGTGATGTCATGAGCTTTGCTCCACTGTGTCTGTAGCTCTCTCTACTCGTGGGACAGCCGTTTTCTTGAGGAAGAGGTGTTTTGTGATTGGATGTCTTCTCTTCTTCGGCTGGCAGTAGTCATCTTGGGAGAAGTGAGCACTGCAGACCCGATGGTCTGTAAGGCGCAGTGTCTGGACAGGAGTGTTAGCATCCATTTGTAGCACAACTAGCCACAACTTCAGCATCTCGCCGTCCGACAAAGGCAGCCTATGAAAGCTGTACGGGGTGTTGCGCGACATCCTGTTCTTGCGTTCGGGAAAAAGGCCCGTTTATTTGAGCACTCCAAAAACTCCGGTAACTCTCCAGGGGGTAGCACGTAAAAGACTCCGTCCCAAACTCTGACTCTTCTAGCGTAACACACACACTTCATACACACATACTCACTTACAGTACCCAGCGGGGCAGCCCTCCCCTCTCTGCTCCAACACTGACTGACAGCTGACCCTCATACCACACTCACCACTGCCCCAGGGTCGCTACAATATGCTATCTACAGACATAGCGCTGGCGATCTGAACTGGTCAGTGGCGAAAAAAAGCACTTTTAATGCGCAAACTTATACAGGACACATTTGCCCCCATATCTACCTCGCGGCTGCCGGCTGCATCCGCCTCCCTCAATACTGAACCAATTTTAGAACGAGTTGTACCTATGAATCATACGCACACATACACATGGGGAAATAGGGCCCAGGTTGAAAAATACCGAAGTTATCCTTTAACAATGAAATGATTAGTTTTTTGGGGGGCATAGGTCAAAAGTCAAGGTGACTGTGACCCTGTCTGTCTCATTCTTGTGAACACAATATCATAAGAACAGCTAGAGGGAATTTCATTAAATTTGGCACAAACATTCACTTGGACTCATTGATGAAGTGATTAGATTTTGTGTGTCTAAGGTCGAGGGTCACTGTAACTTTGTCTGTGTCATTCTTGTGAATGCGAAAGCACAAGAACACCTTAAGGGAAATTCTTCAACTTTGGCACAAATATCATTTGGACTGAAGAATAAACTGATAAGAATTTTGTGGTTGAACGTCAAAGAAAAACATCAGTGTCCATCTAGTCTGAGTGGGCGGAAGTTCGCTGCATAGATCAGCCTCTCATTGGGTGGAACGAGCTACCCGCTGAAGTCCCGCCCTACCACCTCCGGTTGTGTAGCAGTTTTCAACTGTTGTAAACACGTCCTTTACTAACTTTTGCAGTGTTTGATCTTGCGGGGATGTAGCCATTTTTCTGCCATGGTTCGCGTCCTGTAGGCGATACTTTTGTGGGCGTGTTACACCAAAACCTGTTTCCCCCCGGCAATATTTTTGCAAGCATCTGTTGCTGTGGCACCGCCCAGAACGATTGTGATTGGTTGAAAGAAATACAAGCAGCTGGGGCATTTTTTTCTCCAATCTTAAAGTGAGAGTCAGCCCAGCCAGACCTTTCTTTTCTTGAGAAAGATCTGGTGAGCGAGACTAGTGTCCATCCATCCATTTTCAACCACTTATCCGAAGCCAGGTCGCAGGGGCAGAAGGCTGAGCATAGTATTCCAGATGCCCCTCTCCCCAGCAACACTTTCCAGCTCCCCCTGGAGGACCCCAAGGTGTTCCCAGGCCAGATGAGATATGTAATCCCTCCAGTGTGTTCTGGGTCTGCCCCGGGGCTTCCTACTGGTGGGACATGCCCAGGACACCTCATTTGTCACCCAGGAAGATCCTGATCAGATGCCCGAACCACCTCAACTGCTCTACTCCGAGCTCCCCCCGGATGTTCAAGCTTCTCACCCTATCTCTAAAGCTGAGCCCAGACACCCTTTGTAGGAAACTCATTTTGGCTGCTTGTATCCACAATCTCATTCTTTCGGTCACTGAAAGTTCATGACGATGGGTGATGGTTTTGATGTAGATGGAGCAGTAAATTGAAAGCTTTGCAAGAACACCACTGTTACTTCATAATGCTCTACATAAAACACTTTTCTGGACATTATTCAGTGTCATATCTCCAGATCAGAAAGGGAGACACTTGGTCAGATACTGAATTTATGACACTAATCTTGGGTCTCCACCTTGAAACTGTGCTGATTGTAGATCTTCTGTGTGTGGAGCATCCGTGTTTTCACAGACATGGATGTAAACTGTAAGAGAAACTTGACTGGTGTGCAGAGGCATACAACTGCGGGACGGTAATTCTAGTTTTCTGATAACAACATTATATTTTCAGGCAAAAACACCTACAGTGCACTGCATATCTAATGGGCAGATACTTTAGTGAGTACTCATATATTTCCCAGCTGATGAGCCAGTCTAATTTGGATGGCAGTCAGGTGGTCCACCACTTTGGTCCAAACTGAAATATCCCAACAGCTGTTTGATGGATTGCCAAAGAATTGGATACAGACCATGGACACAGCATTGGGGGCAGGGTCTGATCATTCCTATGGAAGTTGTTCAGAGGCGCATGAAGCCAAAAAAGCTCAATTTCTGTGGTATTAATGTTCCCACATCTTCCACTTTATGGGGACCATAGAGCTAGTGCATTAGGGACTTACGGCCACCAAGCCTGGCCAAGTGGCTACCTATTATTCAAAGTTAATTAAGGATAAACCCCTTGAGATGCATCATCTTGTTTTCGAGGGGGTCCGATACAACAACGAAAAATACCTTCCACTAAAGTGCTCCGCTAACTTTAATGGGGATAGAATGATGCAATCTTGTGGCTCTTCTAGACTTTCAAAATGCTGTTGGACTAAATGGATCAAATCCCAATAGTGGAACGAGTCATTTTGCACCTGGACCTGGTCACTGTAATTTCACCCTTGGCCACAATGTAAAATTGGCTTCAAAGCCTGGGGCTGTTCCTTGGAGCCTGGTACGGACATTCAGGGTCCTCAGATGATGTACTTTATTATTATCCCCCTGTTTTTCCAACTTGCTCCACCTTGCTACACAGATATTCATGGTCCTTTGAGGATGTATCCTCATGACTTTGATGATCCCCTAATGTTTCCCCCAGCACCTAAAACAGGTTGACACTTTGGTTTAGACTGAAATATCTAGAATGGATTTTAACAGAGGTTCGATACTCAGTCCTAGAAAAATACGAGGCCTTAAATTCAGCTGCTGTGTGTTTTAAAATATTTAAGAAAGATGGAAGGAGAGACAAAAGTTCAAGTGAACTGGCTCTCTGTCCATCAGATTATAATTTATCTAACTCTGAGTACACACTTTCTGTGTGGGTAACATTTCCCACCAGCGACCTCACTGATAGCAGAACACAGCCTGGACAAACAGAGTGGATGTGCATTGTGTCAGTGAGAGGGGATGCTTTCCTCTGTTGCAGCTGTACTTTGTTAAAATCTCTTTTGCCATTTTTCTCTCTGACTCTCACTGTGTGTGTGTTCCTGCCATTTCTTCTCAGCCATGGTGTCTCAGTGTGGTCCTATTCTCCACGAGTACCCTGACAAATAACCTGTTGTGTTCCCATGTTGTGAGCCATCAAAACAGCTCCACCTGGCATGCCACCCTGCAGCTCTGCTCAACACACAGTGTCACAGATGTGGTTGGAGATTGTTGTATTGTTTTAGGCCTGTATTTATCAAACTGCTAAAAGCAAAGTTTTAGACAAAGTGAAACAGAAGTAAGGTACCAGCCAGGTGTCAACAGGGTCCAGCAAGTGCCGAGAAATAAAGAGGCGAGGCACCGCTCCATACTCAGTCCAAGAAGCCGTGGAAGTGCTCGCCAAACAGTTCATTCATTATGAGACTAATCTGACCTCATAGTGATGACACCAGTGACTTTCTGAAAAGTTCAGAGATTTTCTACAAGGGTTTAAAGCAGCCACACAAAAAAAGCCAGAGTGCTCAGAAATGTTGGGCATGGCTGCATCATTCTCTCCTCACTGAGAACAACTGAAGAAAGATGTTAGTGCTCTCAATAAAAAAATGCTATGTGGGCACAGGCACTAAGAAAACAAGCAAATATCATGCCACTCATGTTTCACAGCTGTGGGCATGAAAGACCTCTCGTGCTGGGGAGCATCTGGGCAAGTAATCTGTTACTTAACACGCATTGTTGAAGCTACAGTTTGTTTATGTTGTTTATGACTGTTGCTGTAACTGAGTGAGGGTGTTTTTTCCTGCAGATGAAACATCAAATTTGCTCTGAAAAGCTGCTCCCACTTCACTGTGCCACTTTAATTCCAGAGTACTTTTTTTTTTTTTTTTTACCACCAGGAGTTAATAGAGTTCAGTGCATAACAATGTGATATGAGCGAATGTCATATCAATTTCATAACCATATCTAAAAACAGCATATTTTCATTTGCAGAGACTGGAGTTCAGCTTGTTATCATTGAGAAGATGTCTCAGCTGTAATAGAAAGTGATGCTGCCTGCCACCCTGAGGCAAGGCATGTCCCTGCAGTATGATTCACTTCATTTTGCACGCTCTCCTCTCTTCGCCTTCAACCGACTCCTTTTCTCTCCTGTCTCACCTTTGCTCTCGTCGTACTCTCTTTCTTCTTCACACTCGCAGCCTATACTGTACTGCTTCTTCGCAGAGCGCAGGATGATAACAGTGAAAATCCTCTATAAGCCACTACAAAGCAGGCTGCATTTTCACAGATCATTTCAGAGACAGTTAATTAAAAGCGCTCTTCAGCCAACCAGTGTCAGTTCTCTGTGCTTTCCCAACTGAAGTCACTAATGGAAAAGGGAGGATTCATACATAAAGGATGCTTTGCATCTCAGTGTAGAATTGTATCAAATTAAAAAAGAAGGTTTTATATATGATAGAAGACGAAGCTCTAAATATTTTGAGCTTTTGAAATGTTTCGGACTTTGAGTGTTACTTCAAGTAAATTTATGCCTCACAATCCATCCAGAATTATAAATTCTAGGACTAAAACTGCTGTTTGTTTGTGTGGTGTCTATTTTAATAACTACCTAAATCTGTCTTTTATCTTTTACAGTGTGTAGAAGCCAAAAAGTACTGCTGGTATTTTGAAGGCGGATACCCCATCTACTTCATGTAAGTACCACAATGTTGCACTTCTACGACTTCAAACCCATGAACTTGGGGTGGGCGATACATCGATTATAGCGGCTTGTTTTACGTGGGATGTACAAAATGATAAAGTGATGACATCATATATCCAAAAGTTTAAAGGTCATTTGCACTGTGGCATCATAATGTTTTACAAAAACACTTTCCTGGGCATCACTCAACGTCTTAACTCAGAAGGGGAGACATTTGGTCAGATACTGAATTGGTGACTCTAATCTCGGGTGACATCCTTCAAATCGTATAGATCTGTGCTGCAGGGCGGGAGATGTGTATGAAGCAACCATGTCACAGACTTGGATGTAAACTGGAAGAGCAACCTGACTGGTTCGAGGAGGCGTACAACTATGTAATTCTTGTTGTTAATGAAATGTGACTTCTCTCCTTGCTTTTTTTTTTTTTTAACAATTCTCCTTTGTCACACTTTGGCAAAGGTGTAATAAAATCCTCACAATGTTTGTGACAACAAAAAGTGCTGAAATTGTCTGAATCTAGTTAAAGAAAAGAAAAGAAAAACTATCTTGAGTCCTGACTCTTGGTAATCGTCAGGAGACGGACAGAATTTGTCACAGTGCACATAAATGGCGAGCCCACATAAATGAAAGTTGACACAGAGGCAAAATGCATTGTAATGTCCCTGGACACTTTCAAAGAGAAAGCTGCAAACATTGTTGCTTATGGAGGCAGCAGAATTGAGACCACAGGCCCGACATGCTGTTTAAAGGGGCGGCGCCACCTATTGCCTCTCTTCATAGTGGACAGAGGAGTGCAACCTACTAGGTTTCGTGCATGTGTGAACATGGGCATTGCCACAATTAGCTCTGATGTCTAGTGATGGCCAAATGAAGCTTCATGAAGCATTTTCTTTATTTTATGAGCCCACTAGATGGCGCTTTGAAAGCACACTGAATTGCCATTCTTTGAGCCTCTCTCTTTAAACCATGAGTGCCATCTAGTGGGCTTAGAAAAAAAAAGAAAATGCTTCATGAGGCTTCATTTGGCCATCACTACCGATGTCCCAACGCAGAACATCACATAGACTTCATCACATAGACTCTCAAGCAATTCGAAGACCTGTTCAGTGATAAGCCGGGAGAAATCCCAGTCACAAACGCAGTGGCAATGCCACACATAGTCAAAAGCACATAAAGGACACACAGGACATCAGCATCAATCCTAAAGACCTCAACACAGTGTTGGAAAGGTGCCATTACTCAAAAAACAACAACACAACTGAACTTCAGTGTTACACCCCTGACATCAGCAACTGCTTTGAAGCCTGGCCCTTCAACCTTGAAACCAGTGCAGCGAGAAAACCCAAAGCAGCAGCTCTGTGCCCACTGAGACTGTCGAAACCGCTGGCGTTGGCTCAGACTGCATGGAAAGTTGTTGTTGGGATACAGAGACAATCAAGCTGCACAGCTAATAATAGACAAAAGAGAGCCGGCTAGATTGTTTGACCAAAGAGAAAGGTGCTTCAATGAGGAATGGTACAAAAATAGAGAGTGGATGATTCTTTGCAAAACCCCCAAGCGAGCCTTCTGTGAAATGCAGATTTGCTGCTGTCAAACAGCTTGTAACCTTCTACAAATGTGGAGACGATGGCTTTGAAAAGTCTGGAATTAATAACTGGAGAAGTGGCCAAGCCTCATGGACAGCCATGTAAAGCCTAACTTTAACAAAGAGTGTGTCCAAAAAAGGTGCACTTACATCAGTCAAACACTGGTCAACATTCAGCTTGTCAGACAGGAGTGCATTGAGCAGGAGGAAAGAAGAGATGGCACTGTCTGCAGTTATACCAATAAGGAGAGCAACTTTCAAACAGTAGTCGAACTTGTAGCTGGGAAACCCCCACCCTGAAAAGCTTCATGCTCACTGGTAAATATGCATCACACAAGACAAACAATGAACTGATACACGCCATGTATTGAGAGTCTCTCACCACTCTCATGACTGATTAAAAAGAAATGCAAAATACTTTGCAATTATTGTGAATAAAACTCCCGATTGTTCTGGACATGAACAGCTGTCCTTGTCTCTACAGTTGGTATCAACTGAATTTGTTGTTTTCGAAGACTTTGTAGGAATGAATGACTGTCCCGATACTGACGCAGAATCAGTAACCTTCACAGTCACAGACGTATTACTTGGATGAGGCTTTGACATCGGGGATATGAGAGGGCAATCCTACAATGGGGCATCTGTTCTACAGGGACAAATGTCAGATGTTGCTAATCGTATTCAGACACTAATCCAGAAGCAGTCTCAAAGCATTGCACCAATCACAGTTAAAATCTAATAGTTCAAGAAGCTGCTTCAAAGTGCAACATTGTGCGTGGTGCCTTCAGTTTGTTACACAACATACAAGAAATTGTTAATAACTCACCAAAAGACTTTAAAACCGTCAGTGTTTACAGCTGCGCAAGCTGTAGAGATGTTGATGGACTCAGACTCCGACAATTCCTGTTCTGATCAACATTCTGAATCCGATTTGGACGAACAAACGAGTTTGGTGGGACGAAACAGGATCTCCAAGATGGTGACAGTAGTCAGGTTTCCATCCACCTATTTTTATTTGCATTTTCAACAATTGCGAAAAAAAACTTGAATGGAAACGCCAGAAATTCGAGAAAAGGCCAAAAATATCGCAAAAACATTTTTACGCTTGGAGGGGGTGGAAAAGTCAGCGTATCGATATTAGGAAAATGCGACTTTTGGCAATGGAAACAGATTTAGCGAATAAACGATGACGCAGGCTATCGGATCCTACTTCTACTTCACACACACACCTGTGTGAACTTAGAGAGAGGTAATTACTCCAGTGTCAGGTGAGTGTATTTCACAACTTACCTGAATAGACTGGATGTGTTGAATACTGCTGCATCATGTGGGCTGCCTGGTGTACCAACACAGACATCACGGCATTATGTAGGCTACGATGACAGGAACTGCCCATTGTTCCGAAATCATCATGATGCCCTGTGGTTAAGGTCTGGTTAGGTTTAGACACAAAAACCACTTGGTTAGGGTCAGGAAAAGATCATGGTGTGGGTTAAAATGAAAAAGAAAGTGACAAACACATAAGCTGTGAGCCTGCTTCACCTCAAGCCTTTCCCAGCTGACCCAGAGCCGGTCGCGGCGCACCATCAAGGCAGAAATACGCCCGCCCTGAGCCGTTCAGCACCGTGGACTGTTGGACTAATGGGATGTCGGACCAATGACATGGACCCGCGCTGACAACGCTGATATGAGTGTGATGAGAACTCTCGCAATAGCCAAGAAGTTCCCAAGGAATCTCTCTATCTCGTCGTAGTCATGGATGTGCTGGTAATTGTTTACATCAGTTGTGGACATGAGACGCTCTCAATGACGTCATGTCACGGCGCCCTCTTCTTCTATGGGTGTTCTTTTGCATTTTCATTTTTCATGAGAAGCGCCACTTTCTGCTCGACCTGTTGACTCCCAATACTCACAAAACAATAATGAATGGAAACATGCATAAATTCGCATTTTCTTTTTCACAAAATTCGCTTAAAATTTGCAATACATTTGGATGGAAACCCAACTAGTGACACACGGACAAGACAACCGCAGAGGAGGAGGAGACAACAGAACACTGAACGGTCACTGAACGTGGCGACGTGTTCCACTATACCTCAACCAGAATATTATTTTCATTATTATTATCATTGTTGTTATTATTTTCATTTAAACAGTTTAAACAGATGTAAGATAATGAGAAAAACCAACACACACACACAAAAAATGTAGAAATGTAAATGACATATACGCTTTTCTCATCCAAGTCTGCCTGACAGTTTGATGTATGTAATGTTTACATATTCATAGAACAAATTATTCTGTGGGTCTTGAAAAGATTAGTGAATATGATCAAAAATAATACTCTGGCAGGGAAAGCGTTAAAGCAACGGTAATTTTTTTCACTTATTTTATGCGCAGAGTAAAAACATTTCTGTGCACATATGAGTGAATGAAGCCCAATGATGACTAAGCAGGACATTTACACATCAAAATTAGCTCCCCACGTGTTTAAATGCTTGGCTGAGGTGAGGAGACAGTAGTCTTCCTCTCATTATTAGACGAAGCAAAAATATTTCCATCATGTTTTCCACGTGTTTTTTCATTGTCTGAGCTTTGCCTGGAGCTCTTTTAATTACATCGTCTTATGGCTCCTTCTTCATCTTTAATGACACCTGAGTGGAGAATGAGCTCCACCAGCCGTTAATTTCCATGAACTAACTCCTGATATTCACATAAAAAAAACATTCACATTCATTCACTTTTTGTCTGGTTAAAATTGGTGCTACATCTGGAGACTTTGCTCATGTGTCGGCTGGAATACAGTAAAGAGGCCAACATCTGCATTGAGCTGCAGAGTGCAGTGTTGACTCAGTGGGTTCGTGAGCACGTGCAGCCTTTGCATCAAATATCAATTGAGTTTGATTCAATGTAATTTCCACATGATTGCTTACTGGAGCTTTAATCTTTGCTGCTCACAGACTTAGGAAGCAGAGTTTGTTTTACTGATTCAAACAGATGACAGGCGTCCTCCACACTTCCAACTTTCATCTATTTAGTTTGCTTTCAGCTGCTGGCCACAGCTACAGTGGTGATGAGACGGAGGAAGAGAGAAAGAAAGACTGGGGGCATCAGCGAAGAGAAATTACATTAGTAATGATAAACAACACAGAAGAAAATCCTCCTTTCTCCTCCACTTTCTTTCTCCTTGTCCTCTCAGCCCTCAATTTCTGTTTTCCTCTTCAGCTTTAACAATACAGGAATCCAGTTTATTTTTCAAATAACAGTCCACGTGTTCAAAAGAAAGTTGTGACAAAGAGAAAAAAGAAAGATTTGTGCACAGCATTCACTGCAGGAACATACGTCTAGTTTGATAATAACTGAGCAGAGGACAATCTGCTTTACTGTGTGAGTGATTCATGTCCCTA